ACCGAGTCTATCTCCACGCCGAGAAAAGAGATCCTCTGCACGGGGCAAAGTTTGCTCTTTCCCGGTTGACCCGAAGGCCCAGACGGGCTAGGTGCCGGAGCACCAGGTCTCTGTGTTCGCAAAGCTGAGCTCGAGAGTGTGCTAGTATCAGCCAGTCGTCGAGATAGTTCAGGATGCGAACCCCGTGTTCGCGAAGGGAACAAGGGCTGCCTCGACGATCTTCGTGAAGACGCGAGGGGACAGAGCTAACCCGAATGGGAGAACGGCGTACTGATATGCCTGGCCCTCGAAGGCAAACCGAAGAAACGGTCTGTGTCGAGGTAAAATGGACACATGGAAGTACGCGTCCTTCAGGTCGATCGCTGCAAACCAATCCTGATACCGAACACATTCGAAAATGCGTTTGGCCGTGAGCATTTTGAACGGTAGTCGATGGAGAGAACGGTTCAAAATGCGCAGGTCCAGGATCGGTCGTAACCCACCGGTCTTTTTGGGGACAATGAAGTAGGGGCTGTAAAACCCGGACCTCACCTCGGCTGGAGGGACCGTCTCGATTGCACCCTTCGCCAGCAGGGTCGCAATCTCCGCTCTCAAGACTGGGGCATTGCCACCGACCATCGTGGAGCGAACTCCCGTGAAGCGGGGAGGAGACCGTGCGAACTGAATCGCGTAGCCGAGTCTGATCGTTCTGATGACCCAGCGGGATATCCCAGGAAGCGCTAGCCAGGCTTCCAGGAAATGAGCCAACGGGGTCATGCGAACCACAGACGTCCCCCCGGAGGGGCAGCGGTGCGGGTCGACTGGCACGCGTGCAGGAGTTACCCCGCTCGGATGCGTCGAAGCCCGCTCCCCGACAGAAGGGACCAGGGAAAGCGGAGCGTTCCACGGGGGTCTGTTCTGCGGGGTCTGGCGACAGAGGGGGAAGGGATTGGTGTAGCCCTGGGACGACACACGCACCCTTCCGCGCCCTCAGAGACAGAGAGGAGTGTGTGGGCTGACGCACGGGGGCATCGAGCGCACCCACTCCAGTCTGTGAGCTCAGTGAGGATGTCAAGTCTTTCTTTAACCAGTTCAGGGTGCTGCCCACCCGTGGGTGAGCAGCGGGGAGCTGAGAACAAAAGATTCTCCCCCGGCCCTCCACCGGGGGAAGGAGGGGGCCTGCTACCGCCTCCTGGGAAGACTCGAGATCGTCACTGAGCGGCCCGTGTCAGGATCTTCGCTTGGCCTGGCGTTTAGCGGGCGAGCGGCCTGAGGGGGCTGTGACGCCGGCCTGCGGCCTCCTCGACGCCGGGGCCCGGGTGAAGGCTGCTGCTGGGGCCGGGCGGGAGGGAGGGGAGCCGCAGGGGGGCGTCCTCGGCGGCGAGCAGAGGGAGGCACCTGCGCCGATGACTGGGTGGAGGCAGCAGCTGGTCGCCGGGGCAGGATGTGTTTGATGGCCTCCGTCTGCTTCTGAGCGGTGGAGAACTGCTGGGCGAAGTCCTCGACCGCACCGCCGAAAAGGCCAACCTGGGAGAGCGGAGCGTCGAGCAGACGAGTCCGCTCAGCGCTCCGCGTATCTGCCAGGTTGAGCCAGAGATGGCGCTCCTGAACCACCGAAGTGGCCATCACCTGACCGACGGCGCGAGCGGCCACTTTCGTTGCCCGGAGAGCAAGGTCAGTGGCGGACCGCAATTCCTTAAATGCCGTCGAGTCAGTCCCGCCCTCGTGCATGTCTCTGAGCACCTTCGCTTGGAAGACCTGCAAAGTGCTCATGGCATGCAAAGCGAGGCCGCCTGTCCCGCCGCTCTATAGGCTCGCGCCGCCATAGCAGACGAGAACCCACAGGCTTTGGATGGGTGCTTAGGAGGACCACGGGTGGAGGCGCTCTGTGGACACAGCTGCATCGCAACAGAGCGCTCCACCGGGGGCATCCCAGTGTACCCACGGGCGGCCCCACCGTCGAGGGGGGAAAGGCGGGGGAGAGATCGCGCTCTCGAGTGGACAAAGGAGCCCCCAAGAGCGCGATAACTCCGCATGCAGCTCGGGGAAAAAAGGTATTGGAGTTGGCCGTGGCCTTGCGGCGGCAGCTTTGTCCAGATACCAGTTATCCATCCGCGAGAGATCGGGGCAGGATGGAGGTTTCCATTCTAGCCCGATACTCCCAGCGGCTCGAGACAGCATGGCCGTCAGCTCGGGATCTGACACGGGCAACGCTGGCACTCCCGAAGGGGGCAACGCAGCCGCATCTTCCTCTCCCGAGGACTCAAGCCCGCCTAGTGATGCAGTGATAGACATCACATCATCATCTGGAGCGCTGCTAGAAGCAGCCGGCGCCGCCGAAGAGACAGCCGACTGAATCGAGCTGGCGCTCGCTGGCTCACGCACTGAGGCGGGAGGTGTGGCCCGAGGAATCGTCGGGGCTCTATCCCACACCGTCACCGTTAGATCGCCGGGTCCCCGGGTCGACGGGCCCCTTTCGTGAAGGAAGCCGATCGAGTAGGGGGGGACCGGGGCTCTCACTCTAGTGAGATCATTGAGCCTCGACCTCAGTGTGGAGATGGTCATGCTCCCACAGAAGGAACATGAGTCATCCACGAACGCTGCTGCTGCATGCTGAATGCCCAGGCATACAAAGCAGCGTTCGTGACCATCAGATGATGACAGAAATCTACCACATCCAGAAGGGCACGGGCGAACCATCTTTAAAAGACGTGCCGCGTGCAGCTCTTTCACTTTCACTTTTAGAGAAAGGAGAAATTCACTCTTTCAGCGCTGAAGCTACCAGGGAGAAGTGCAAAGTCTGGCAGACCACTGCTCAGATCGCAGGCAATGCAAAATCTCGCTGGGTACCGCCGTCACACCAACACTGAAGAGGACGCTCGTTCTCGAAGAGTCTTGAATCAGCTTTTAGGAGTGAAGAGGTTCTCTTGGCTCCGAAGCGAAAACATACTGCGGTTGCGTTCACTTCCTCCTTTTATACTCACGGAGTAGGGCGGAGTACGCTATGCAAATTTCCGCAGCCCCAAGGCATTGCATGCCATTGGCTCGTGTTTTAATACTCGAAGAGGATTGGCTTTCTATGCGAAATCCCCCAATCTCCGTCACTTCTGACGTAACTCGAAGTGACTACGAAAGGGAACTGCTTATTGTTATGATTTTATTTGGCATTTGACATTTTCTTTTGAAACTTTTTACCAGTTTTTAGACAGCAATTCAAATTTCTATTAAAAGAGGGAGTACAAGAAATTACATTTTAAATTATTATATAATATTACAATATTATACTGTATATTACAACTCGTCCATGCTGGTGAACAAGTTTCACCAGCTCCATTTCATGCTGGTTAATGCTTGTTTTTTTTTTTTTTAGCACGGTAATATGTGGCCTTCCAGAACCAGAGTTTTTCCTTGTTGGAATGAAGAATCTACCCAATTGTTAACTACATTTGGTTTTAAAAAAAAAAAAAATCACACAATAATTATTCTCTTTTCATGGCTTCAGCTTTTGAGTTTCATAAAGGTTCCACCATCTTCACAAAGACTCTTTGCAGGCTCTAAATCAGGGATGTCCAGTCCTATTCCTGCCACACTTACTAGTAATCTTGAAGACCTTCATCAACTGGTTCAGTTTTGTTTGAATGGAGCTAGAACTAAACTGGCCAATATTAAACATACCTGAGCCAGTTAATGAATTGACTTGGTCGGTCTCCCAGTCTTTCAGGTTACTAAAGTCTTCCAGACTTTCATCAGTTGGGACATGCTTAACAGAATACCTTGACAGCATATTTATTACTAAGTACCTTGTCCACAAACTATCATAGAAAGGGAACGTTGTCCAAGTTCGGAACAATGTGCTTCACATTTCCACAATGAATTGAGATTTCTCATATCTTGATTGCATGGAAATAGATCCGAGCAAGACTTAAATTGTTAAGGACTGGCCTTAACCCATTTCGGTAAAAGGGATTCAGCTCTTCCAAAAGTTTTCCAAATTTTTAATGTGATGTTCTTAAGGGACTTCAATGGTCCAATCACTGAGTTGGCCATGATAACTCATCTGAAGTTAACAAAGCATCAGCATGACAAAGCATGTAGAACGTGGACTACTCCACCGCACCGCTAAAGTGAACACCGTACCCTGTGTTCTTGTAAGTTAGCCTCTCCAAGTAAGGTATGTACAAGTCATTGTGTCCATCCTGTTCTGCACTTAATCGTGGTCTACAATAATCAGTTCTGCTTGATATCCTAGAGCAATGTTTCCAAACTTTACACGTTTTTGGATATCTCCCCAATCAAACACACCTGATTCAACTCATCATCTCATTTGTAGAGACTCCAAGACTTGAAATGGGTGTGTCAGACAAGACAGCAATCCAAATTGTGTACAGTTGGAGGCTTCCAGGAACAGGGTTGGGAAACACTATCCTTGAAATTTGCTACTTAATCTTCCATCAAACAGATATTTTTTTGAGAAATCTCCTGCACCCTGAATACTCCTGTTGGACAGGTTCTTGAAGGGGTTTCTTCTTAGTTAATGTTTTCCTCTGACCTCCTCTGATGATTGTTGGTTTTCTTTGTTCACTGAATGCTTGCATTTCTCAGAGGTTTACCAAACAGCTAGTCTTGTCTGGATTATTGTTTTGACTACCTCTTTTATTTAAATTTTAAGTTTTGTTGAGCCTATTTTGGTCCTCATGTCTGATTTCAGGTTCCAATAACCAATTCCAAAGCAAAACTAGACATTGACAGCTATATAAAATATACAATAATGATTCAGACAAAAGCACTTGTCTAATAAGAAACAGATGCATGTACCACTGTCCAAATATTTTTTGCCAATTTTACTCTGTAGGAACTTTGAGGAAATTATGCAGTAATTTTTAAATACATTGCTAAATATAAGAGAAAAAATTATAAAATCAAGCCTGACATGTCATACCTATACAAATTCAAATCAATAAAAAATGCTAAAAAGTGTACTGATTTTAAGTTAATTGATTTAGTTTTCTCCCTTCCAACAGCTGGGTTAAGGAGAAGTTTCCGGCTGAGTCGGAGGGACAACAATAGTCAACAGATGAGGCAGAAGATGAGTAAAGGACATGCCACTATCCATTTACCAATATATCAGGAGGTTCTGCCTCACAGGAGAAACCCTGAAGAGCCGTACCACCTTGTGATTCTAACTGGTAAGAAATATTCTTGCTTAAATAAAGAGGTAATCAAAAACCTTAAAGGTGCATTGCGCAAGTCTCTGAGTTTTTGCAGAACTATGCCCCCTCTGGCGACAATCGAAACTGCAACCAGAAGTTCATGCACGCTCATGGACCACACGCACACTTGCACGCAGGCACGAGCTGTTCATCATAACCAAAGGAGCATCAGCCGCACAAATATTCTATTAATATGTCTTCAGAGGTAATAAAGCTATATGCAAGTCATTTTAAATATATGAAAGGAAAGGCATTTGAGTAAATTTATGTGTGAGGGGAAAATGGGGGTAGTAGAAAACTTCGGTGTTTGTTTCCATCTATCTCCATGTTGAACTGTTTTATGTGTTTACTGTATCCACTTATGATTGTATTATTATGGAAATTTGTTCATGAACAATACAAGTTATTACTTTGTATAGGATCCTGTTTGAGCCCTAGAGCCGACCGGAGATCTCTCCATTTGTTGAAAGCTTCCCGATGTTGACTCTCGTCTTATTCTGACGCCTGGCACTAGACAAAAGTTGTATTTTCTTTCTCTTACGTGGAGTTTGCGTTGGGGTTTGGAATGAATTACAAGCCGGTCGCTTTGAATCCATCTTCTACTTTTGTCGAAAGTTGAGTAAAGTTTTGTCGCTCGAGTTGTCTTCGCTGAAACGGAGAATGGCGGCGAATACGAGCGTGAACGCGCATGACGTCACGCCCAGTCTCAAATTCCGTCCTGAATCCCTCATATTTATTGTACTGTACAGGATTATAGAGGCAATCGCAGTGATCAGAGAATCAGGCAATTGTTTAAGCATGTATGGGTTAGAAAACCACAGGTGTGGTTTTTTTAACATGAAATGTTGCACAATGCCCCTTTAAATTCATCATCATATGTTTTCAGTCCAGTAACATAATATTTTGATGAAAACTTAAAAAAAAAAACCATCAAGTAGTAGATATTTCACACTAAAATCACACTTTCATCATTGGTTATCTTCCCCACCAGTGAGCTGTGAACCAGAACATTCTGATTTCAGACTTAGTGAATCATTTACAAATCAGATGTCGCTACATCTCTCATGAACACTAATAAAGGAGAGCTGGGGAGTATGTAAAGGTTTTAACTTAAATTTGACACAAAGCAATATTTAAAGAGCGTAGAAGTCAAATGCCATTTTTTGATTCTTCGGTGTATTTTTGAAGCTTGACAGCTTCAGTTGCTATTCTTTGTAATTGCATGCAATTTATTATTCTTTTGTGTTCTTCAGAAGAACAAACTGCATACAAGTTTGGAACAATGAGGGTGATTTTATATATAATATATAAAATGTTAATATTCTTATTTTGGGGTGAACCGTTGCTTTAATAACACTCTTTCCTGTTGTATCAGTAAAAAATAAAGATAATGTAGAGAAAGAGCAAGTCTGGAAGGTTAAATCAACATACTGTATAGATGTATCTGTTTTCATTGTACTGTCTGGATGTAGACCTGGGTCTGCAAAATGTCATTTTCCAAAGGCAGACTCCAAATGAGCCAGCAGAATATATGCTTATTATCTAAACATGAAAGCCGTTCAAACAGCTGGAGCCACACACTATTTTTTTTATGTCATTTAAGTTCCCTGTTGCCACAGTCCATCAGTTACCAGAGTTAAGAAAATGACCATAATCAAAAGTTGACATTCCATTAAGCATGAAATCCAGAGCTATCGGGAGTTTAGTGAAAAGGGAGTTCAGCTTCTCTGTTGCTGAGGATCTATATATAAATATTCTGAATTGAATGGCGTCTTGGCAGGTCGAATGTCTATTGTCATAAAAGTAGTAACTGTATGCCTAAAACGTCATTATTGCTCTGGTGTTTGCATAATTACGAATGCATGATATTCTACTTAGAAATTCGATGAGGAGTGTGAGATCATTCAGACTTTTTCGCTATTTTATCCACTGCTGAATCAAAAATGTTTCCCTGTGGGAAATTTAGAGCATTAATTCTGAAATATATCAGGGGTGAGAACAGCTGTTGGCAAGGTATAGGTGAATGCAAGACTTCTTTCCTAAACAAACAACAGAAAACGTACAGGAGCACTGTGAACTCTCTCCCAGTATTGAAGGACTTCAAGTGAGCCTTGACGAGTCTGGCCAAAGAGCCAATGTGTTCAATGACTGCGTTGATTCATTTCAAAGAGATTAAATCATCTCAGTTAAGTCAGAATTTCAGTTGTCTACCATTGATGAGTTATGTTGGATTCAGACAAGGAGAATTCGGGCCAGTGACATGACGTAAGATATATATATATATATATATATATATATATATATATACAGTATATATACATATGTTATGTAGTTTCATTATTTATTTTATTTATGTTAATAGTTGTGTTCTATATATGAATTTATTGAAAATACATTAAAATGTAATTGATACATACATAATAATGCATTTGTAAAGTAGATACAATTTTACATCTCTTTAATAATCATGTTTTCTAATGTCTTTTTTAATATGCATTTTGATATAGTTTTTGGGGCATAAAATGTCAGGGTAATGGAACTATCCTGCCATCATAATGAAGACATTTTTTTTTTTTATAATTAAATAAAATAAAAGAAATTTTTATTTATTCAATATTTTTGTCCTTGAGGTCAGTAAGTCTCTTAAAATATTAGAAAAGTTGATTTTGTGACAAAGCAAGGTTAGTTCAGGTTGTAAAATAACATGTGACACCCCCCCCCCACACCCCCCCCCAAAAAAAAAACAAAAAACAAAAAAAAAAACAACGTTGATAGTTATAGATTAATAATTCATGATATTTGTTTAAAGAATCCTTTTACATTGAAAACTGTATGTACAAACTTTTTTTTTTTAAACTACATGTCCAGTTCTTAATCATGAACTTTCTAATATGATGTCCACAATAGTTTGAGCCCACCAAAGCAGTTTGCTCATCTCTAATGAGCAGGTTGTTGCACAAATGACTAGTTTCACTTGTAATGTATGTCATTCTCATGAGTTTATGTTGGCCATGGATCCAGAACGTTAACGTCTAATTTGACTAACTCTATGATCGCTGCTTGCCTAGGAATGCCATATAGAACTATAACTTAAAAGACATCCCGGAATTAAAATATACTGTATCTTCCTTAATGTGTTTGTTCAACTGACCACAGACATAGCTTGCAAATATTTCGAAGACCATCAACCCACAGGTTTGTTTGCGAGATGAGCACTGGTGGATGATGACTTCGAGGGAGGGTAGAAAGCTCACGTGGGGTCAAACAAGATGGCTGAATATTTTCATATTCAACTTCTATGCGATTTGGTTCTTTCCTCTTACTCTGTGAAACTCGTTTGCTGTGAAAAGCAATACTGGGCCAAACATGAGGTGAATTGGCGTTTCATGCGTTATCAGAATGGCAGGAATTTCACTCCTGAATCACATCGAGAAGGCCAGTGTAGCGATTGCATACTATGATTTCTTGAGATGCACCCGCAGGGACCATCTTGTCTGTTTGCGGCTGGCAGACGTTGACTTCTAGTCTCTCTTGAGTGGGCACCAGACAGATTCTTCATTTTCACTACAGTAATATGGATTTACCTTCTGGGGATGCTCAGGCCAGAGAAGAGACTGGATCTGTGTTTTGGAATGGGTGCGAGTGGCGGGAGCCACAGCTTGAAATCAATACAGCATTACCCCATCATCCTCATACTTGCGTCCCAGTGATGGAAACAGCAGATGCCTGTTGGAATAATGGGCCACTTCATGGCCCAGACAGTCCATTTACATGTCCGCCTACAAACAAGGACTTCACTGAAGTTGTTCATGTACCACTCAACCAGCCATGTCTGCAGTCTTTTATATTGGGCGCAAGATAAAAGAGAAAATATTTGAGCAGGGATCATAAGTGATGGAAATGTGTACTGGTGATTTAGATAAGCTTGTGTTTATATTGAATGAATTATAAAGTGAATGCTGACTGCTGCTTTATTGCTTTTTTCATTGTTGATGAATTGGTTAGTGATAAACTGCTGGTGTGTGTATGTGTGTTGAACAGGGCCTGTCGGAGTTGGTGTGAACGAGTTAAAGAGAAGACTTCTACTTTCTGACCCAGAACACTTCAGTGTAACTGTGCCATGTAAGTTCATATAACATTTGTGCAATAAATCAACCAGATAGTATGTATCTCTTTCAAAACAACCAATAAGACCTGTGTGTGTAAACCTCTTTAGAGCTGCTTTAAGTGTAGTTCAGTTTTGGGGAAACCGTTACCAGCCAAAATATAAGCGTAATTTAATCATTATCGAGAGAATGAGACAGACCACTCAAAGAAAAATTAATGGGAATAATTTAGAGGGAATAATAAAATGCATAGTCTGCTTGTTGACTCTCAACTTGTGCATTAGCTGGACCAGCCTGAAAATTGCAGCTTATGTTTTGTGCTAAAGAAGCACATTATGACATCATTGTTGTTAGATTTTAAAGGATTAGTTCACTTTTGAAAAAAACTTTTGCTGATAATTTACTCACCCCCATGTCATCCAAGATGTCCATGTCTTTCTTTCCTCAGTCGAAAAGAAATTAAGGTTTTTGATGAAAACATTCCAGGATTTTTCTCCTTATAATGGACTTCAATGGGAACCAGGTCCAACCGAGGTCCAAACGACAGTTAATAACAGTTTCAGATGCAGCTTCAAATGTCTTTAAACGACACCAGACGATGAATAAGGGTCTTATCATGCGAAACGATCGGTTATTTCAAAGCTTATTCCAAAAATTTAACTTTTCTAAGGACAAATGCTAGCCTTTCTCCATTCTGTGAGGCGCGTTTGCAACGTCACGTAATACGTAATTACGTTCAAAAGGTCACGGGCGACGTAGCCAGAAGTACAGAGTCAGAGTGTTTACAAGTTGAACGCATAGGTTGAACGTGCAAACTAACTCAAACGCCGTTTACAAAAAAGGAATTAAAAGGTAAAACAACGATGTCGGACGATTTTGATTCTGTACTTCCGGCTACGTCGCCCGTGACCTTTTGAACGTAATTACGTATTACGTGACGTTGCAAACGCACCTCACAATATATTACAAGGCTAGCATTTGTCCTTAGAAAAGTTACATTTTTGGAATAAGCTTTGAAATAACCGATCGTTTCGCATGATAAGACCCTTATTCATCGTTTGGTGTCGTTTAAAGACATGTGAAGCTGCATCTGAAACTGTTATTAACTGTCGTTTGGACCTCGGTTGGACCTGGTTCCCATTGAAGTCCATTATAAGGAGAAACATCCTGGAATGTTTTCATCAAAAACCTTAATTTCTTTTCGACTGAGGAAAGAAAGACATGGACATCTTGGATGACATGGGGGTGAGTAATTTATCAGCAAAAGTTTTTTCAAAAGTGAACTAATCCTTTAATGCTGATAGGAAACATTAGTTTTTAGTAAGCTCAGTTTCATCAAGTGGCAGCTGTTAAGCCCTGGAGAAAGACTGCAAAATAGATACTGGCTCCATCCCAGTTGGAACCCTGCAGTCTTCCTACGAGTCCACACTTCTGTGACGTAACACCGCTTTGACTGTCGGGAAGAAGTCTTGTGCGGAGCTCGCACCAGCGCATCGAGGGCGCATATCGACCACGAAGGGGGCACTCGTGAGCATCCTTCTGAAACCTAAAATGACAATTGGGACACCCTACTGTCTGTCACGGATCATGACGGATGGAACAGGAGTCAGACAGGTGGTAAGTAAAATAGTGTTTATTTACAGGTTGCAGATCCAGATAGGGATATAGTGAGTATGCAAGCAGACGATATTCAGGATAGAACTTAGCTGAAGGATAACCAGTCTGTTTACAGATGCGGATGGAGAGTCACTGGGAAGAGGCTGATGACCGGAGACTGAACTTCCGGGTAAGTTGCAGGTAAGTAGCGTGATAGTCTGTAGTGTCATGTAGAGATGAGACCAGACAATGTGTGTGTGAAGAGGAGTTTGAATATAGAGGAAGGTGAACTAAAGAGGTGCAGATGATGGTGATTTAAACTCAGGGGACTGTAAACGAGTGGGAGGAGTGAGTGAAGCGGGTTGGAATCCTAACACCTACGGTCTTGTGGACTTCACAAAAGACTACAAAACTATGGGCCTATTATACGAGCCTGTTGTCATCCCAAGGCGTCATATACTGACGCTGTTGCCAATGCGGATACATCCAACGCACATGGCACCCTTTAGGCCGTGTGTTTACCAAAGCGTTTTTCCACGCGCCTGGCGTATGTTTTCAATTGTTTTCAATGGGAGCGCCGCGTTTTTTAAACGCCATGAGCGTACCGAGGCGCTGAGCGTTTTTTTCACGCTGAAGCGCAGAGCGCCCGGCGTTTTTACTGGTCGCTGGGAGTTGAAAAATGTTCAACTTTGGATAAAACGCAGCGCTCATCACTGTCACTTTTTACCCAGCCGTCCAATCACAGTGGAGGAGGGGCGGGACTAATACCACACCAACCAACTGTCACAACATTCAAACTGCTGCGGATATTCTGTATCATAGCAACGAAACGTCTCAACGGAAAAAAAGGTTGCGCTGCCAAAACGCTCTCAAGCGGCCAAAGCACGGTGTCTTCAGCAGAGCGTCTAGCGTTTCAGCTGGCTAAAAACGCTTTGGTTGACACACGGCCTTAGCTTCAATATGAGACGCAGATATACATGGGCGAGAAGGCACCTAGTAGTCTAACCCTAAACCTACACATAACCGAAGCGTGTTATATTGACGCTAAAAGGTGCCATGTGCGTTGGATGTATACGCATTGTCAAAAGCGTCACTATATGACGCACTAGGATGAGAATGCGTTGATTATACACCCGTCACAATGCAGCACCACGCGCGGCGCAAGTGTTTTCTGCTAGTTTCAGCCTGACGCAGTTATCATTTTACGTCCTGCGCCACGTTGTTTTAATAGCAACTGAATAGCTTGTTTTCACGTGATGGAGGGCAGGAAGTGATTTTCTATATTTAGGAAGCACTATAACAAACTCAAAATGCCAATGTTTTGGGTGGAAAATACAAGAAATTGACAGAAAAACACCGGGAAAAATGCCTTGCAAACCTACGTCTGCGGTCGGGAGGAGCCGAATGGGAAAATGCCTGTGTGTGTGTGTGTGTGTGTGTGCAGTGATCACTTTGTCAAATGTGAGTATACATTATTTATGTGGCTTATAATTACATTATTCAGGTGTTTAAATACACTTATGTGGCTGTTTGTGTAACGTACCAGTTTCCGAACTTTGCAAAGTCAAAGTATGTCTGTAAGACGAGTTAGTTGCTGAAATCTACAGCCTCGATGGCAGGCAAATCTCTCAATTCAGTTGAAAATCGGTCCTCTTCATAACGTAATGATCACATCCAACATATGTTTCGATTTTCTGTTTATATATTTCTCTTGTAATAGCGTCCAAAGTATTACAGTACGGATTTTCCTCCACCTCGTCCATTGCGCTCTTCACTCCTTGCCCTCCATCTGAATTCCGCGCGTCAACACAATCATGTGACTGCAAACCACCTATTGAGGCAACTGAAATTAACTGACGTTAAACTAGCAAAAGGGGATTCGGATGCTTAGACCATGCACTTAGATCGGTAAAATGAGGCCCTATAAGTACACATGAAATGTGTCATTTGGAACAGGGCCACTGCTGCCCTCAGTTCCCTTTCGTAGTCACTTCGAGTTACGTCAGAAGTGACGGAGATTGGGGGTTTCGCATAGAAAGCCAATCCTCTTCGAGTATTTAAACACGAGCCAATGGCATGCAATGCCTTGGGGCTGCGGAAATTTGCATAGCGTACTCCGCCCTACTCCGTGAGTATAAAAGGAGGAAGTGAACGCAACCGCAGTATGTTTTCGCTTCGGAGCCAAGAGAACCTCTTCACTCCTGAAAGCTATTACAAGACTCTTCGAGACGAGCGTCCTCTTCAGTGTTGGTGTGACGGCGGTACCCAGCGAGTTTCTGCATTGCCTGCGATCTGTGCAGTGGTCTGCCAGACTTTGCGCTTCTCCCTGGTCGCCTCAGCGCTGAAAGAGTGAATTTCCTCCTCTCTGTAAAAGAGCTACACGCGGCACGTCTTTTTAAAGACGGTTCGCCCGTGTTCTTCTGGATGCGGTCGATTTCTGTCGTCATCTGATGGTCGCGATCGCTGCTCTGTATGCCTGGGCATTCAGCATGCAGCAGCAGCGTTCGTGGATGACTCATGTTCCTGCTATGGGGACATGACCATCTCCACACTGAGGTTAAAAAAAAAAAAAAGATATATATATATATATAAAAAAATTATATTTTATATATAGAATATATATTTTTATATAAAAAAAAAAAAAAAAATCTCACTAGAGTGAGAGCCCCGGTCCCCCTTACTCGATCGGCTTCCTTCACGAAAGGGGCCCGTCGACCGGGGACCCGGCGAATTAACGGTGACGGTGTGGCATAAAGCCCCGACGATTTCTCGGGCCACACCTCCCGCCTCAGTGCGTGAGCCAGCGAGCGTTAGTTCGATTCAGTCGGCTGCCTCTTCAGTGGTACCGGCTGCTTCGAGCAGCGCTCCAGATGATGATGTGATGTCGATCGCAGCATCACTAGGTGGGCTACAGTCCTCGGGAGATGAGGATGCGGCTGCACTGCCCCCTTCGGGAGAGCCAGCGCTGCCCGTGTCGGATCCCGAGCTGACGGCATGCTGTCTCAAGCCGCTGGGAGTATTGGGTTAGAGTGGCATCCTCCATTCTCCCCCGATCTCTCACGGAGGGATAATTGGTTTTTGGACAAAGCTGCCGCCGCAAGGCCACGGCCAACTCCATTGCCTTTTTTTTCCCCGAGCTGCATGCGGAGTTATCGCGCTCTTGGGGGACTCCTCTGTCCACTCGAGAGCGCGATCTCTCCCCCGCCTTTCCCCCCTCGATGGGGGGCCGCCCGTGGGTGCACTGGGATGCCCCGCTGGAGCGTTCTGTTGCGATACAGCTGTGTCCACAGGGCGCCTCCTCCGTGGTCCTCCTAGGCACCCATCCAAAGCCTGTAGGTTCTCGTTTGCCATGGCGGCGCGTTCCTGTAGAGCGGCGGGACGGGCGGCCTCCGCTTTGCATGCGATGAGCACTGTGCAAGC